CCCTGAGATCAGGGTCAGGCCAAGCTGGGAAAGCTCCACAGCACCCAGGGTCCTGCTGCTGGGCCTGGCAGAGGAGCCTGGACCACCACAGTTCCTTGTCAGGGGAAGCTGGGGCTGCTCACCCCCAGGAGCTGTTTGCCTGCAGGGCTCTGCCCTGGCCCCACTGCTCAGAGGTGCTCTCGTGCTTTTTGCATAACGAAGCCACAGGCTGCTCCTTTATCTTGTTCTCCCTCCCCTATTATCAATAGTTTTTCTGGTCCAACTGGATTTCCCTGCTGCCACATCCCCAACGAAGAGAAAAGGTCCATGCAGAGGAGGTGAGGAAGGTGAACCCCCACCCTCACCACCAACAGCCTGTCCTAAACCTCTCTGCACCTGGGGAACATCGACGGTCTCTGGAAAATCCCCAGCACGGGGGGGTTGTGCTGACCTGGAGCGGGCACATGCCTCTGCTGCACCGTCAGCCCAGGCAGCCACGGCTCAGCTCTGGAGGGAGCAGAAGCTCCATGCTGAGACCACATGCTGGTGGCCAGCTCTGGCTCCTTTCTGCCTCAGTTTCTTGCCTGGGAAGAAGAGTGACAGGAGTGACAATCTGCTGCCTTGAAGCCACGTGTGCCACACGTGGCTCCAGCACCTGGTTGAGTTTGGTCTTGGCTGGCAGCTCTAGCAGGTACCCCAAGCTCCAGGATGTGGTGCAGAGCTCATCTCATCCCTGCTCCTGGTCAGCCCAACCCCTGAGGCACCGAGAGCAGGGCTGGGCTGACCAGGAGCAGGGGTGAGATGGGTGCTGCATCACCTGCTCAGCACAGGAGAGACATGGGCCTTTTGGAACGGGGCCAGAGGAGGCCACAAAAATGATCAGGGGGCTGGAACCCCTCTGCTGTGGGGCCAGGCTGAGAGAGTTGGGGTTGTTCAGCCTGGAGAGGAGAAGGCTCTGGGGAGAACTTATTGCAGCCTTTCAACACTTGAGAGGGCCTGTAAGAAATCTGGGGACAGACCTTTGAGCAGGGCGTGTTGCGACAGGACAAGGGGTGATGGTTTACAACTAAAAGAGGAAGATTTAGATTAGATAGAAGGAAGACATTTTTGACACTGTGAGCCCCTGGCCCAGGTTCCCCAGATAGGTGGTGGCTGCCCCATCCCTGGAACCATCCCAGGGGAGGTTGGATGGGGCTCTGAGCAACCTGCTCCAGGTGCAGATGTCCCCGCTCAGCGCAGGGGAGTTGGACTGGATGACCTTAAAAGGTCCCTTCCCACCCAAACCTTGTGTGATTCTATGATCCCTGAAGTGGAGCTCCATCCACCAGCCCAGCCAGTCCCTGCACACTTCCTCCTGCTTCAGCCCCAGCCGGGGAGATCCGTGCCTGGAAACGTGCTGCAGGACACGGTCCCTGCCTCTGCTGGAGAGGTGAGCGCTCACAGCGCCAACGGGGAGAGATGGAAACCAAACAACAGACTGGAAACCCTGCCAGGAGGCACCACAGGATCTCCTGGGTGACAAGGGCATTTGTTTTCCACAACCTGGCAGGGAATATTTAGAGGCTGTTGACTCCTGGGGAATCGCAGGAGCCAGGCACAGCTGGAATAACACCTTGTGGGACACACCACCAGCTGCCCCCAAAAGCAGGGCTGACAGCTACCAGACATGCAGCCGTGTATTTCTTCCCAAGGCTGCACCTTTGCACACACTCTGCAGCCCTCAGTGGCACTTGCAGGTCTCAAACCTCTTCTGTATGTGTCCCTGCATACCCCAAGGAGCTCCTGGGCCACGAATCCCACGGGCAGGCGGGCGTTACAGAGCCAAGGACACAGGGGACAACTGCCTGGTGGAGCGTGGGCAGCTGCAGGGCTGTGCACGGCCTCCGACACAGCCCGTGCCAAACCTGGCACCATGCTGACAGGTTCCCGAACAGCAGCTGCCACCTGCTGGCACCGGGACAATCCTGCTGGCCTGCCAGCCACCCAGGAGGCCTGGACGGGGACACTGGGGGTGGTCCTGAGCCTGGCCCTGAGTCCTGGCTCTCACCAAGGGTGCTCTGGCTGTAGGTGTCCTCCACAGGTTTGCACAGCATAGTGGGGTTGGAAGGGACCTCTGGGGATCATCTGGTCCAGCCCCCCTGCTCCAGCAGGTCACCCACAGCAGGGTGCCCAGGATCACATCCAGGCAGGTTTGGAATCTCTCCAGAGAAGGAGACTCCACAGCCTCTCTGGGCAGCCTGGGCCAAGCTCTGGCACCTATGCACAGGAAAGGAGTTTCAAAAAAACGTTTCCTTACAATCAGGTTTTGCTACACTGGTTTGTGCCAGGCTAGAAGTTGGCTGGGAAATGCTGCCTCCACCCCCCCTCCACTTCCCATGGCTGCTCCAGACGACGCCACAAGTGGCTCCAGTCAGACTGGTGCTCCAGGGGATGTCCCCCCCACCCCGGCCCCGGTGGGACAGGATGCCTTGGTGCAGGAGGGACAGGAGCAAAGTGAGGAGGTGAAGAGGACCACCAGGTGAGATGTGCTTTTCTGGGGCCAGAGAGGACATCGTTTTGAGTTTCCTGGGAACCCCAGACCATGGTAAAGGCCCTTCTCCAGCCAAGGTTATCCCTGATAACATCAAAGTATGGCTGCTGTGCTGAGAGGAAAGCCTGGAGGGAACAGGCTCTGCTGGTGGGGAAACGCCTCCCAGGAACTTTCCTTCCCTTGACTCTGGGAAGCCTCAGCTGCACAGAGCTGGGCGCTGGGGCAAGTGCGGGCTGGGGGCTGCCAGCCCATCCCCAAAACCTCCTTGCCCACCAAGATCCCATGACTCACAGGATTCAGCCTCATCTCACTTCCCAGAGGAGAGGGAAACAAAGCAGGAGGGGGGGAAGGGTGTAAGAGAAACTTCTTCCAACTCCTTGGGAAGAGAAAAGCCCTATTCAGGCAGGAGGAATACCAGTGGGGAGCTGGTCACTAAGCAACCCGCAGCTATTTGGTCCGGCCGATGCATGGGCAAGGAACAAAAGCTGCCCAAAGAGAGCCCGAGGCAGGGCTGGGAGAGCGGGTGGGGCCTGGGGACACCAGCCGTGCACAGCCACCCAGCAGGGGCTGGAGCTCCTGGGTGCTGTGGGAGTTTGTCCTGGGTCAGCTCCAGAGGGTGAGAAGCCTCCACCAGGCTCCTTCTCCATGGGAATTTCTGGTCTGCTCCAAAGCCTGAGGGTCTGGTGTTCACGTGGGGGTCCAAACATCATTCCTAACGGGGGCACAGCACATTCTGGATAACTCCCTGCTCCCACAGACACAGCAGGGCTTCTGGAGGCAGAGCAGCCAGCACAGGTTACACCCTCTTGCAGACAAACTGAGCTCTTCACTGAGATTATCAAGGCAGGGGGTTGTCCTTTGCAAACAGGCTTAGTGAGAGATGAGAAACTGCCCGGCCTCTCCATAGCACAAGGCAAAAAGGGACAAAGGAAACGAGGCCTATCAAACCCTGCTGACAATCCGTGCTGAAATGCCTCCCTCGGAGCACAGGGGGTCCCTGGAGATGCTGCTGCCCCCAGCAGAAGTGCTGCACAAAGGGAAATCTGCTCACAGGCAGAGCGAGTCTCCTGGGAGCAGTTGCTGTGCAGCTGGGCCCCAGTCCTGCAGGATGAGCCTGAGGGGATGCTCTGGACCTGCCTGGAAGTGGCTTCTCACCTTCGTGGTGTCCTAGGGCAAACGTGCAGCCCTTCAGGCATTTGTCTCCAGCATCTGACATACTTGGACAGCAGTTGCTGGGACAAGGACAAATTGGCCAAGTGTGTATTCAGTTCCTCTGTGACATGTTTGGGCAGCTCTGATGCCCTGATAGCAAGGAGCACAAGTGGGGGATGCTCAGGTATCTCCACCCAGGCTGGAGAGCACCTGCAGATGAAGTTGCTCCCATCAGCACTCAGTCCTGCCCTTCCCCAGCTTTCACGTCTGGTGTCTCAGCCTCTAAGCAACAGCTTTGGACACAGACTAACAACCACAACTGACAGGGCCACAGTGAAAAAACAGCTTGGCCAGAGCAGTGCCATTTATTTCACCTGCAAACGCCCCTTCAGCAGGGCCACACGCTGCAGGCCTGCTGCCTGCAAGCAGGGCAAAGGTGGACAGGCACTCCAGCCTTGCCAGGACAGGCAGCATCCGGGCCTGGACTTGGAGAGCTCCCACCTCCCCTGGAGAGTGGGCAAACGGCACCCCAGGCACAGCTGGGAGCCACAGGGGCTGGAGCCCAGCTAAGCAAGGACTTGGCACACCAGGACCGTGACAATATTCACACGTCCTGCGGCCAGGGGAGCCCCAGAGCAAGAGTCACCAAGTGTGGTATGTCTGCTGCACCACGGAGAGCATTCATCTGCCCCTGAGCCGATGGTGGAGCTCCTCTGGAGGTGTCCTGACGAGGCCATGCTGGGAAGCAGAAGTGAGACATATCCTCTCTCAAATTAGAGACCTAGAAGTGTCCAGTCCATTCTTTTTATCTGCAGGGAGCAGAGCAAGAGCAGCACCTCCAGGAATTAAGTCAACCTGAGACAAGCCCTGTGTGTCCAGCTCCATCCATTGGCTGCTGAGGGAGCTTGCTTAGACAATACACCCACTGATGGAGAGGATCCTCCCAGACCAGGAGTAGCCCCAGCCTGAGCAGCACCTCCTTGCAAAGAGAGAAAACCTGGATGAAGATGCAGGACACTGAACCACATGCTACCCAGATCCATCCTGGATTCTTCTCTCCCAGCATCAATGCCTACAACCATCAGCAACAGTCTTGCAGCACAGCCAGATGGGATTTCTTTGTTGGCATGCTGCATTTTCTTGCTGATTTTCTCCTGGTCTGTGGCATTTGCACATTTGTAGAAATACTCTGCGAGAACAGAGGTGCTGAAGGAGAGAAAAACCTTTGTGGGGATGAAATGTGCCTAGAAGCCCAGAGCTAACCTTGCCTCTGGTGGTCCTCTTCCGTTCCCAGTGAGGTGTTGCTGAGATTTCCCAGGCAATGCCCCCTGCTACACAATCAGGATCTCTGGTACAGCTTCATGATATTCTCGTCGTGAAGCTTCTTCCACAGCTGCTTCTCCAGGTTGAAGTCGTGGTTAATGTAGAAGATGAGACGTTTCTTGTCCTTGTCATAGTAGTGATCCGAGTACTTCTCGTGACCCTCCGTGATGTACCCATAGGCACTCACCTGGGCAAGACAGAGAGCAAGCTGGGCAGAGCTACCAAGGATGGAGGGAGCCAAGGGAGATACAGGACACAGCTCCCAAACCAGGTGGAACCACAGGACAGGGATGCCAGGCCACGCTGCTGCAGCTGACCCTTCACAGGGGTCCAGAAGGAGCAGACTGTGAGCACTGGCTCCAGAGAGCCTGCTGCCCTCCAACTGCCTCCCTGGGAAGCAAGATGGCTCTCAGGCCATAGTGGCTGCACAACCTCTCTATGAACTATTTTGGGGCTGTTTCTCTTGTCTTCGAACAGCTCCTCCAAGGAGAACCCACAGAGCCTCAAGGCAGATGGTAGGCAGGGTTGGGGCCAGCCCTGCTCTGCCCCGTTACCCTGTCCCCCCCTTGCAGGCAGTGCTGTGTGCAAGACTCATGGTGTCCTTACCTGGTCACAGAGATGGAGGGCAGTCAGCAGCAGGAAGGCCCCCGTTGTGGGTCTGTACAGCCGCCAGTAGGACTTTTCCAGACTTTTAGATTTTAAAAACCTGCAGCAGGAGAGAAGAAAGCACAGAGCTGGGTGTGGTGGTTCAAGCTGGACACACCCTCTTGGCCTGAGAGGCATCTTCCCTCCTTGCAGCAGTTTGTGGCCACCCGAGGTGTTTCAGACAAGCCATGAGTATGGCCACACATGTGGGGACCACCACAAGGCCAGCCCAGAACACTCCATCACCTGCACTGCAACCCAAGCCCAGCTCTGCCCCAGCTTTATGGGGTCTTGAGGCAGCAGAGATAACGTGGGGGTGGATTAAAGGATCTTGCACATTAAAGCCCCACTCTTAGATCTGTCCTTTGCCCCACAGTGCAGAAGAGGCCTTGAGGCTCCCTGCTATATCCTGCTCCCCATTCACATGGAGGAGTGAAATGAGACATGGCAAGGAGTGTGGAGGAAGGTCACAAAACCCAGTAGCTGTAGTGGTTTGTGCCAGGGGTTGTTAGGAAGGTAGGAGGCCACATCAGGAAAAAAAAGAGCATTTGAGCCCTCTTGGCCTTGGCAAGGCCAAGTCTGAGGGGAGACAGCAGAACGAGCAGGGAGGTGCAAGCCATCTGGCACTGCATTTGCTTCTCTGAGAAGCACAGCTCTGCTCTCAAGGAGACTGAAAGGGAAACGCAGCCAAAGCAGGGCACAACGGGAGCTCTTCTTCCTACCTCTTGGTCACGTGTGGCCCACAATTGGCAGATCTTCCAGTGACAGTGTCCAGCAGGCTTGTGAAAAGGATCAGAAAGGCAAAGAGCAGCAGCCAGACCAGGGAAATGGGAGACTGAGAAGTGTCTGTTACCATGTTTGATGGCACAAAAAGTCTCCTTAGTCAAGAAGGGCTCTGGGGAGGGAAGGGCTATTAAAGAGCCTTCTTCAAAGGTGCTGAACAATGGGGAAGATGAAAGGTTGGTCCTGAACTAGATCAACTGTTCCAGCACTTTAGCAACATTCTTCCCACATCTGAAGTTGCCACTCACCCAGGACCTCTTTGGGATGCAGGAAGCCAAACTGTCTGACAACTGTTGCTTCTCCAGCTCACAGATGCTGGACACCTACCCACCACTAACATCCCACTGCAGCACCACAGAGAATTTTACCTGACCACACTGATGCAGCTTACCCCCAATCTGCTGGTGTGGCTAAACTGGAGTTACAAGGGAGTGAGCTGGGCGGAGAGAGCCCAGAGACACAGAGAGATGGTGTTGGCCAGAAACAATAAGCCTGTTAGAGCACTTAATCCCCAGCTCACCTGTTTTTCATGTATCTGAGGAAATCAGGGTGAACCACCAGGTATTTGTCCATTGTGAAATCTTTATCGAATCTCTCTCGGGGCCTCTGCCTAAGGACAGGAATGGGGAGACTCAGGACAAGCTCCGTATTTCATCATAGCTGGAAAGCATCAGTCCTGATGCACTTGGTGATAAGAGAAGAGCCACAAACACTGTTAAGTTATTCTGCAGCATTTCCTAGGTTATGAGAAAGCCTCCATAACCTGCGTGCATTGCAGAGGAGAGATCAGGGAGGAGGAGCAACCTCAGTAGACTGGAATATCAAAAGTACGTGTGTGTATAGACAGGGATTGGTGAAACCACGAGCAGGTCACCACAGACAGACATCAGAGCAGACAACAGTGTTCATCCCAGAGGACCATAGAGCCCTGGCCACACATCACTGAAATTAGCTACTTCTGGGAAGGAGGTGTGTGGGTTACAGCAGTGCTCAGAGCTGCAGAGGAAACTGGTATTTCTCCAGACAAACCTGAGAGGGGAGGGAGGCTTTAACCTGGCTTTACCCTGGTCTGCACCTCAGCAGGACACACCAGGGAGCTCCAGGCTGAAGGAGGCAGAGGTGGGGTCAGTTTGCTTTACCCATAGTGGTTCAAGACTCCTTTCTTGGTGTTCTGATTCAGCAGAAGGGCCTTCATCCACTCGTAGTCTCTAGCTCCCTCCAGGAAGTGAATGTATCTGATGTGCTAAGAAAACAAGGGAGCATTAATGAACAGCACAAGAGACACCCTTTGGAAACAAAAAGCAAGCAGACATCTAGGCTCGCTGAGCTTCTCAGACACACATCTTTGGTCTGCAGCTTTTAACTAACCCACAGAAGCAGAGTGGAGGTAACATCTCCAGCTGGAAGGCTGGGGTTGGACTGCACCTTGCCACTGCAAATGCTCACTCGGAGCCAAGCTGGTGCAGGTTCCCTCACGAAGGGTAAGCTGAAGCATTAGCTCAGCCCTTTTGCTCCTCTTGGCAAGATCAGAACTGAAGACCACGTGCTAACAGCAGCCCATCAAAGCTGTGCAGGCATACAGCATGGACCTGACTTACTTTTCCCTGAGGGATGTTGCTGAACCCTCTGCGTCCCAAGATCTGGAGAGAAGACACCAAGGAGTAGGCTGTGAATCCATAAAAGGAGGTTTTTGTTCCCACATCTTTTTCATAACCTTTGATTACAGCCCCGCTCACCCTGGCCAAGGAAACCAAAGAGGAGCAGAGTTAGCAGGTGACTGTTGAAAACGCACACATCCATATTGATAAGAAGGAAAGACAGTGTTAGTCTGGAGGAGTGGAGGATTAGGCCTGTTTTGAGCTACATCTCTTGATCTGCAGGAGAGCCACTGCTTTGGAGATGGCTCCTTACGGCTCATCTGTGAACCCAGGCTCTTCCCGTGTGCTTAGGAACTTCCCAAGTCCCTTTCAGTTTTTCATCTCCTCCTGCCATCAGCCATTTTGGCACTGGGCAGTCAGTGCAGTACAAAAGAGGTGAAGTTCTCCAGCCATAGTGATCTGCTAGCCAGAATGAGCTAGTGCCTACCTTCTAAGAAGGAAGCCTGCCTTACCGGAAGACGTAGTCATGGGAGTCGATCTCCTGGCCCATCCCAGAGTTATTCAGTATTCCTCCATTCCCCACGACAGCACAGCTGATGCACTTTGGCCTGTTGCTGCTGGCCAGGAGCAGCTGCTGGTGGGGATTCGGGGGCAGCAGGGACATGACCTCCTTCACCACTGTGAGGGAAACACGGTGGAGAGTTAGCATCAAGAGCCTTGGGGTGGACACGCTGAAACCACCACAGGGTCCACCCAGCCTGATGCCTTCGGCAGGCAGACGCAGCGAACCTCCAGCTGCTTGGGAGTTTGGTGGTCCCATCCCAACATTCCCCGAGCGACTCACGTGAATAATTCAGCTCCATGAAGCCATAGGGAGGAGCAAAGTGCTCCAGGCGCTCCCACTCCCTGTCACTGAAGTATCTCTTGTCTGTGAAGAGCACGATGTTGGGTAGGAAAAGATCTCGCAGCCAGGCAGACTTGGCAGCTTTGGCCTTCACTGAGTCAGAGCAGGTCTTGAAAAACAAAAGGAAAACAATAAGGGCTGATTAGCAGGGAGCTGATAAACCTGCCCAAGCGCCATGGCTTGCGTGTGAGAGGGGTGGAACAAAGCACGGAAACTCCAGTGGTACATCACCCACTTCCCGTGAACATCAGGCTTCATTTCAGCTCTACGTCAGTAACTACCTGCTGGAGTCACCTACAGGGAAGCCAGAGTGACTCCAGGTCTCGGAGACTCTCCTCAGCAGAACAACAGGCCTGCATTGGTCATGTCTTACCAGCCTTGGGCCTCATTAACTGACGCAAATTAATATCTGTAATAGGTTTAAAGGCCACAGTCCCTGTCGGCAACACACCTCACAAAGTCCTGCCCTCAGAGTGCCCATCAGCACCGAGGAACATGAGGCCACATCACCATTCTCACTCCCTTTCAAGATAAGGCAAAGCCTGCAAACACCTCGTTCAGTGTCAGAAATGACTCACAGAGAAGCTGCAGCTCGTGGGGGAATCCGAGGCAGCTGGACCAAGGAATCCAAGGTATCCCTGCAGCTGGCAAGTTGGCTGTGCAGATGGAGAGCAAACAACTCCCCTGCCCTGGATTATCCACCATGCCAACCTAGGCTCTACATCTTCCCCAAATATCTACTGAAAGCCAAAACAGGAGACCAAGTGGACGTGCACGCCCAGCTCAAATCCCCAGCAACGACCAGATGGCACTGCCAGAGCCTTGCTGTGTGCTCCACAGCAGAGCTGGGCTCTCCACTACGGGTGAGGATGACAATCTGCTCACAGCCTGAGGAGACAGTCCTCAGCCTGTCTGTCACAACAGGACTGCAAGGAGAAGGACATTGTGGAGGGTTTCGTGTTGGCATCATTTCACTTGCAGCACATTTCATGACCAGAGACAGGGACATTCCCTTCCTGCTCAAGCTGTACTTTGTATTGTCTAGGGCTTGGAACTTCTTGTGCCTCCACAGCTAGACTGGATCAAAACCAGAGGATCTAGGGTCTGATCATGTAGGAAAGGAAAGAGGTGGGAGTGCTTCCAGAGACTCCCTCTCTCTGCCGAGTTAGAGATCAGATTTGGGAGTGAGACCCAACATGAGCTGTCTGCATCCACATCTCCACTGAAGACCCCTCTACATGCATTTGCAACTCTTTCCCATACTGAGGAAGTGCTTCCCCACTGCCTCAGCTGTTCTGCACACCCAGATGCTCTGCAGCCTTGGTTACAGTGGAGGATGTCCTCAGCTTCCTGCTGTGAGCCATTGTGTCCTATTTCTCTGCCAGCTCCTGCTCTGCACATCTGAGATGGCTGTGGGTGCTCTGCAGCTCATCAGATGAGAGGATGGGAGTGTCTGTCAACGAGCAGGACCCTAGTGACCAAACCCCACTGTGTCCACAGATGGTAACACTGGCAGGAGGGGTGAGGGACAGTCTCCTGTGGCACACACACTCTTAGCTGTGTCATTTGGCCACTCTCACTTGTATTCTGGGTGCCTCATGACCATGTGGAGCCCAGGAAGAAGGATGCACATCCTGCACCACAGAACTGGATCACTTTCCAGGCCCTCCCACTGTGACTGAGTAAGGCTGGGGCAGTGTGTAAAGTCCACTCCCATTCATCTGTAAAGACCTTCCTCACTCTAGAGAGGGTTACCTGCCTGTCCAAGCCATCCAGCAATGAAGGTCCCAGGGAAAACTGCTCTGGGTAAGCTTTACAAAGAGTTACCAGCACCAGATGGGGACAGAGACAGTACTGTGCACCACGACCTGCCCCACCTACTTGCTGAGAACTTTGCCATGGCTTGTTTCCTAAATGCCTTGTTCCTGAACCTGAATAATTATGAAATGCTCAAATTTCATTTAAAATTAGTTCCAAACCTTCTTAGCTGCAAAGTAAAAGGTCAGAAATATGGTCAGAACAAGAGTTCAGTACAAAAAAGGAAAAGACAGGCTTTCAATTCCATGGCTGTGAACACAACCCGACGGTGGGCACCAGACTTGCTGTTCTGGAGGATGACATCAGCAATATGACTGATGTAGGCAGAGGTGATCACGAGAACCAACCTACAGAACAACACTCCCAACAAACATGGGCCATAAGAAAACTCTGAAGCTGCAGCTGAGCAAGTGCTACTGCCCTGATGGGTACAACTGCATCACTTCAACTCTTGTCAGTGTTGCCCAGCGACAGGACAAGGAGCAACGGGCACAAACTGGAACCCAGGAGGTTCCACCTCAACATAAGAAAAAACTTTCATGTAAGGGTGCCTGAGCCTGGAGCAGGCTGCCTGTAGAGGCTGTGGAGTCTCCTTCTCTGGAGATTCCAAACCCACCTGGATGCCATCCTGGGCACCCTGCTCTGCGTGACACTGCTGGAGCAGGGGGTTGGACAAGATGATCTCCAGAGCTCCCTTCCAACCCCCAGCATGCTGGGATTTTGGGATCATTTGAGATTCCCATTTTCACCTCTACCAAAATACCTTATTCTGTGCTGCCCAGGCCTGCAGCTGTTCCTATTTAGCCAAGAGGGACAAAGCAAGACTTGTTGGATGCCAGCTCTGTGACGAGTTATTTGCTCTGCTGTGATGATGGTTCAATGCACAGCGAGAAGGTCCTAGAGAACAACCCAACATGTTGGGACATCTGAGTGGTGGAGTTCTGAACAGGTAAAGAATCTGCTTGCTAACTACAGACATCTACATACAGGGTGGAAAAGGTGAACTGGCAACATCTGGCAAAGACCCTCCTCTTGTTGATGATAAACCACAAGGACTGTAAAAAAAAGTTACTTTTCAACCAGTTTCTCCACTGGGGCACACATACACAGTGGAGTTTTTGCCAGTATTGACAGAAAACCATAAAAACAGGAACAGTCCCCACCCTAATGGCTCCAAAGCAGGCAGGTACACGCTTCTCAAACCTCATGTAACCCTTTTTCTTCAACCTTATTTTGACTTTCATACAAAGGCTCCGAGCCTGTGCACCGAGACCTCCCCACCATCACAGCCAGCACTGTGCTCCACAGCCCAGCCCAGCACGAGCACTCCTGCTGCCTCACCACTGCCAGAGCCCTTGACCTGCTCTGGTACCAATGTGCTTGGGCCAAGAGGCACACGGGGACATTCCTACTCCTGCTCCCTCACTATGACCGTGACTGTTTTCTTCAGCTGGGCTGCAGAACACAAAGATGAAGGCAAATGTGGGGACTGCAAACCTCAGTCTGCCCAGGAATGCAGATGTTTAGCTTCTCAAGAGAGGGGTGAGAAACAGGACACCTGTATGAAGGCTGACATTTAGTGCCAGACACCTGGAGGCATCACAAGACTATGTGTGACCCAACCTACCTTAGGGTGGCAGATCACAGGGAACACAGGCACAAAGTAGAGCGTGTAAGGCACCTAAGGATGGAACCATCCTGTAGCACATCTAGGACAGACATTTTCCCCAGCTCCAGAAAGGGCTGCTCAGGCTGACTTTCAAAGGAAGCCAAGGAAATGGGTACTATTGCAGCAAGTCCCCATACTGGAGCATGGTGGAGAGCTGGTCAGGATAGCTGAGCCAGACATCTCCCTCTCTGGGTCCCAGCAGCATCTGCACATATCAGTGAGTTGACCTACCAGTCTGGAGATCATTCTCAACTTCAAAGGGCACACACATGCCCAGGGGACAGTAGACAAGGAGGTCAACAGGGAGGCATCACTCCTGGTGAACACACACGGCCATCACACCTACCAATGGTGGAGATGAGTTGTCCAGCAGGTACTCGTCCTCAAAATCCCACTGTGGCTCAGCCTTGAAGTCTGCAGCCTTCAGTTTCTTTTTTGTCACTGCAGCAGCATGAGGAACAGGTCTTAGAGTTTTCAGAGACACAGGAGGCTCTTTTGGCTTTGTCTGGTCTTTGGATATGTTCTTTTCAGGAGCTCCCTCTGCCCCAGAGGGTGGCTTCACTGTTGCCTTCTCCTTGGCTCCCTCCACCCTCGGAAGTAGTTTCCCTGTTGTCTTTTCCCTGGTTTCTTCCACTCTTGGGGCTGGTCTCACTGCTGCTTCCTCCTTGTTTCCCTGCACCCTAGGGGCTGTTTGCACTGTTGTCTCATTGATTCCCTCCAACCCTGAGGGTAGTTTCAAAGTCATGTTCTCCTTGGCTTCCTCCATCCTGGCAACTGGTTCCACCATTTTCTTCTGTTCCTCTTTTCCTTCCCATCTTGGTGTCCTCTCAACGATATCTTGTTTGAGCCTTGTGACTTCTCTCCCCAAAGTCACCATTAAAAAGCTCCTTGAGTTCCCATTATCAGAATAGTTTAAACCCTGTTGCTCTGGGAGATCCAACTGCAGCATATCTTGGACACGCTGGAAAATGCTCAATTGCCTGGGTGCAATCAAAGGAAAAGCAGACACATCATTCACACTTTCCACTTAACACCCTCCACCCCATTTCTAGTGCTCCTGACTTTGAGTTCCTCTCTACTTCACAGCAACCACTGTATATGACCACCACACTCAGAGGACTTGCCTTGGCAACTGCCACTGAGTTTCTGAAGGATGCTGTAGGAATTCAATTCCATTTTCAATGTTGGCACCAAAATTATTCAACTTCCCACACCACGTTGGCTTGAATACCACTCATCTCCCCAACAAGCAAATCCCAGAGGCTACACTCTCCTCTCTAGCACTTGGCTCATGAAACAGCCACACTGGCAGTGACCACAAAGAAAAAGAAAGACAGTTTTTCCTCTTCTCCTCCCCTTTTGCCAGCTAAGGCAGTGGCATCACACAGCATTCGCCAGGTACACACGTCTTAGGACAGGCACTTTGAAGCTATTAAACCATACTGTGAAGCTTAAAAATGTAAAAACTCTGCATTTTCAGCAATCACCTCTAATATTGCAGCTCCCTGCTGCCTGATTCAGGGGCACAGGCAGGTACAAGGATATCACAGGAGGCTACAGCTGCCAACAGAAGAACCACCTGCAGCCAGACTGGGCCAAAACCCAGCAAAAAAATATCAAGGCAGAAGTGGTGAGGTTTTGTCCCAGACATTCATTCGTATCTGCACACGGCTGTCGAGGGGGGAACAGGAAAAAGAAAGGCAAAAAACCAATCTGCAGCTGAGCTTTTCTGTACAGCAAAGCTTTCCAAGATAACCCAGCATAGCTGTGGCAGTCTGAGCTCATGCTCACGTTCACCTTTTGCTCTACGCATGAGTTTCAGAGAGCTGTGGATTGCTCATGAGGTGATAAATGGGGAACAAAAAGCACCTCTGTACCCAGCAGGCTGTAGATAACAGTTCAGTTGCTGCTGAAGCTTCGGCGTGGTATGGAATTCATCAAGGTGATTAGGAACTTATCAGCTAAGGAGGCTTTTAAAAAATCATTTGACTCAGATAAATACAGGAACCTTTCTAACGTAATTTCTGAAGAAGAGATTATGGTAAATGGCATTCCTCAGGCTAAATCAGCTCTTCCTCTACCTCCCCTCATAACCATTACCCAGTTTCAGCCAGGTATGCAGCAGCTGCTTTCTATTACAGTGCTTCCTGGAGGAACTTGGGTTACTGTTTAAGGCCTAATGAGAGAAAGATTTTATATACACACTCCAAGTACAGAGAAATATAGTGAGGTGGCTCAGGCAGATCATAAAACCCTAGATGATTTCCTGTTATATTTTTAAAATTACATTTAAAATTTTGCAATTAAAGGGCAGAGAACAAATCAAACAGGGCAGTAAGACAAACGACCCCCACCCCAGACTTGTCCATGGGCTGTCTCACAGGGCACAGGTTCCATCCCAGCTCTATTACACTTTAAATACTGTGCCAAACAGAGACCAAAACGTAAAACTGAGGGTGCTTTGCATCCAAAACCTTGCTCCCTGCAGTCAGACCCCATGGCCCAGCACTCGTGCCTACACAAGATCCTGCTCTCCTGACCAGCATTATAAATCCAGACAAATAGTCAAAGCAACTCATCAAATTTCAGGCTCTAGAGTCCAGCTGGCAAACAACTGCAGAAGCTCAATGACATTTACTGTCATTTTCCTCTCCATTGACAAAGCCCTAGGACAAATAGAGGATAAAGCCATCGAAATGCTGCTCTGTGTGTTTTACATTACATATAAAGGCACAGGAATGGAACTGACAGGTACACCACAAACAGCTCATGCCTGCTTGTGTTTTAGTGAAGCAAAAATATGGACACGACCATCATCTGAAACCAGGGCAGAATGAAATGGATTCAAGCAGCTGGGCACAGAGAGCCAAGTTTTGTCCCAGCTCTGCCACTGACAGGCTCTGTGATGGAGGACAACTCACTTCACCTCTCTACACCTCCTCCTTCTCTCCTTCCTCCCGCCCACCTTGTGCAGGTTCCAACCTCTCTAAATTGATAACTGTCCTCAAGGCGTGGTCTCAAGTTGCTGGAGCAGAGTTAAACTCATGCCACCTCCAGAAGAGATGGAGGTGTTCCCAGCCTCACCCCTCCTGCTGGCTCCCACAGCATCAGCCCCGAGAGGTCCAGCTCAAAACTAACCCCACCACGAGGAGAGAGATGAGCTCACGAGGAGAGATGGGACCATGTGAAGGCTGGTGGGGAGGCAGGGGAGTGGTGGTTCCTATACACAGCACAGGGGCCATGCATGCAGCAGGGAAGGCTCAGATACCTGCTGTGCTCCCTGTGCTCAGAACAGCGCTTCCTGCCAGCAGTACTGGAGACATTTTACTGCAGTCTACACAGCAAGTCCCTCCACATCCATTCTTGTAGCATTTCCTTGATCATTTATATTAAAATTAATATATAGATCAAGTCTGCATGACACTGGTCTCCCAGTATGCAGCAGATCTGTATTAGGTATCAGATGCTGAAAGTATACATTCAAAGGTATCCCACCAAATTCAATGTCACAGAATTCCAGCATGGTGGGGTTGGAAGGGACCTCTGGAGATCATCTCATCCAACCCCCCTGCTCCAGCAGGTCACCCACAGCAGGGTGCCCAGGATCATGTCCAGGTGGGTTTGGAATCTCTCCAGAGAAGGAGACTCCACAGCCTCTCTAGGCAGCTGCTCCAGGGCTCTGGCACCCTCACAGGAAAGGAGTTTTTCCTTATGTTTAGATGGAACCTCCTGGGTTCCAGTTTGTGCCTATGGCCCCTTGTCCTGTCACTGGGCACCACTGAAAAGAGGTTGACCCCATCTTCTTGCCCCCTGCCCTTTAGATATTGCTCAGACCCCCTCTGAGTCTACTCCAGGCTAAACAGCCCCAGGTCTCTCAGCCTTTCCTGTCCAGCAATGCCATCTGGACTAGGGCCAAATGAGGCCCTAGGTCTAGGAAAAAAAGAGGCCCACTCTGTGGACAAAGTATGAAAACAGGTAGCATTAGTAAAGCAAAACCTGCTTTCTTAAACTGCTACACAAGAAAATCCTGGAAACTAGTGGTCCAGCAGAAGCCAGTTGTTCAGTGTGACTCTTCCAACACCGTGCTCTGTACACAACGTGGTCTGCTAAAGCAGTGATCATCTAACTCAGAGCAGAAGTGCAAGTGTCAGGGTAAAACTAACCCAGAGACAGACAGAAAGTCAGCACAAGCACTCTATCCAGACAGCACATATCACAAGGAAGCAGGTTCCTTACCTGAAAATCCTTGTCTTTGACAAGCCAAGGAAGGAGTTGAAATAAGCAATGAGGATGCAAAAGTGTGTTAAAACAATGAGCCACACGAAGGCTCTGGGAATTTTAGGAAGTCTTCTCCTGAAAAACCACATGGTGAGACGTGTGAGAGCGAGAGGCTCTGCTGCTGCTGCCCAGAGGTGCTCGCCAGGCAGTGCTTTCCAAAGGTGTGTTGGAGGAGTGGGCTGGTCTTCTCTCTGGATTTCCCTCCAGGAACGTGCACACCCTCTCTCCCAACACTCCCCGACACTCAGAGAGGACAGCAGCGTTGCACCGTTCCCGTCTATCAGTGTGAGTTTATTGCAACACAGGAGTGCTGAAGGAAACACCTTTCACTGCAAACAGTGGAAGCCTCCTGTATTTTCCCTTAGCGACGTTACTCTGGCATAAGGAGGAAACCCTTTACCTCTAATCTGGTGGAAGCATCACTGGGCACATTTGTGTGAATTATGGAAGCAGCCAAAGTTACAATCAAAGAAATTAACTTTCAGACCTGCCCAGGGGCTCAGGCAAAATTCTAGTCATAACCATAAAGAAGAGATCTCTTTATTATCTCCCCCAGGCTGTAACTGCTTGTAGCTCGAATCCAGAAGTAAGGCCTGCCCCGAAAAGCTGATGGCTAGTTACACATCCATTTTACCTTGTGATTGCTTTGAAGTAAGACTCCTTGCAAATCCACCACAGAACAGAGGGGCTGATGTTTAAAGGCAGATGAGTGCTTGGGTAAAGGATAAGAGGACAGGGTTTGGAGTCAGACAGTCCCCTCCCTCTCTAATAAAGCTGACCTGCCCTTAGGGTGACTGAAGAAACCTCAATCCAGAATTTCACTTGTCTGAAAGGTGCCAACTCCACCACAATCTAACCAAACTTGTTACACAGCCTTGCCTGCAGCTCAGGTTCCTGAGCTGAATCAGGAGTGTGCCACTGCAGGCCTGAGCTGCTTGTACAGACAGCAGCAACACGCTCTTCAGCTGCTTTTCTGCTTCAGCTCTCAGCCAAGCTGCCCCTAGAACCAACACTGGGACTGGTCTTTTACTTTTGAACTGTGCCATCATTTCACAAGGATCACTGGGTGGCCAGGAAATTATAGCTCTGACATTTCCCCACTAAAACACAGCCTGGATGGATTTGAGTCTGTGGCTAGATGTAGAATTTAAAAAAGGACTAGATCACCCTGCAGACCCTCACAGTACTGTCCCTTGAAATTCAGTTGGTTTCAAGGGAGCATCTGATATATCTGAATTTTTATTCCACACAAGACCATAATAAATTTCAAGTTTCTTGTGTCTGAGAGTCACGTCATAATGGACAGACAGACAACAGCCTCCTACACTACTGTCCTTAATGGGACCCTGGTCACTGGGTTTTGTGCAGTACAACAAGGCTTTGCTCATTAACAGCGTCAGTTAAAGCTTCACTAATGCCATGTGCACGTGGAACACTCCGAGGGTAACAAATCCCTGCTGTGACTCCAGGGGTTTGCACTACACTTATCTGAGCCACGAGGATATTCAGATCTGGGATACGCTGCCTCTCATCGACAGGTAGCGCCTGGCAATCCCTCTCCCCACCCCGAGCTCCACAGTGCATATCTAACCTCCCCACCACAAAACCCAGAGGTCTGCCTGGAGCCCAGTCTTTGGCAGTCCACAATTCATCTCTCCACCAGCAGAAGGAAAGAGTAGCAGAGATGAACACCACAGCCAGAGGAAATGCTCCCCTGTACAGATGTAGTTTTACATGCTAGGGCAAAGGGCCACTTTAACTCACAGGGAGCTGTTAAATATTAACCCTGACAGTTCAGAGGGAGATGGTCATATTGCTTCTTACAACATAGGCTGCTTTTGTACAGCTCTTATCAAAAATTAAGCTCAGATATGAGAAAGCTTTTGTTGACAATATCAGAGATTTCAGAAGCTAACACTCATACTGCTACTGAATACACAAAACGGAACATGTTTGCTTTAAGTTACAGGAAAGCCAGTCAGCAGCTCTCACACTTACCTTGGACCCCTTCACAAATCACAGCAAAAAGCTGCAAGGATTCCCTGTACAAGGCTCAGCAGTAGCTGCATTTCTTTATTGTCCATGCTTCCTGACAATTTACTCTCTCTGGCTTTAGCTGCAAAACCCTGGTTATCAGAAGACCTAGGAGAAAAAAAATTAAAGAATAACTCAGGTTTGAAAGGCCCTTGAAGAAACACAAGGGAGGTTGTTAGTCCAGGGTAGAACCCTACCTCCATCTACAGCAAAACACTTTGCTGTTACTCAAGCTGAGCTTAGGATCAAAGATCTCTTGAACAATTACAGGCACTGAGAAAGGAATCAGCCAAGGAACTGCTATATTCCTGGGCAGCCATCGTTAGCTCCAGGCAGTTCTAGAGCAGTGTGCTAAAGGTCTGGGGGTGTGGCAGGCAAGTTCCATCTCTGTGCCCACAAGATCTCCAACAGGACACTCTTAAGGAGCAGGCATCAGTCCTGAAGCACTGATATTAGCACACAGAGCAACAGCTT